AGGCTGTGGAGAAATAGGAATCCTACTCCACTGCTGGTGGGAGTGTCGATTGGTGAAACCACTGTGGAAATCAGTTTGGAGATTCCTCACAAAACTAGGATTGGAAGTCCCATTTAACCCAGCTATTCCCCTTCTGGGTGTTTTCCCAGAAGAATTAAAGGCATCATACCACAGTGATATATGTGCACCCTTGCTTATAGCAGCACAATTTGTTATAGCTAAATCTTGGAAACAACCCAGATGCCCATCCACTGAGGAATGGATAAAAATGTTGTGGTATTTTTATACAATGGAGTATTACTCAATTACTAAAAAAGATAAACTCGATGCTTTTGTAGGTAAATGGATGCAACTAGAGACCGTACTCATAAGCAAAATAAATCGGACCCACATTTGTATATTGTCTCCTTAGTGTAGGAACCTGAAAGACTAGGTAAAACTCAAAACGTACAATAGATGATAGGAAAGGGAAAGAAATTGCTTGAAGGAAGGAATGACTGGGATGAGGAAAAGAAGAAAAAAGAAAGGAAGAAGGTAAAACATAAATATATATATATATGAATAGTTGCAATGAGTGTATTGCTGTTGTCTGATGGTACATTGAAATGAACAGTTAATGCTCACAAGTTTTTTGTTCTGATCGATTTTTCATGCTTGTGTCTGGTGGTCTGAGCAACTGATTTGAAGGTAACAACATGCAATGGAATTACAATGGTGAACTCCTACCCTCTTGTCCAGTGAAACTGCATTATTTCTAATATTTTATTGAAGAATTATTTTCTTATTCCCTTTAATAATTTGATTATTTTTTCATTCTTACATCTGATAATCAGAGCAATGTAGTTGAGGATAGTGATATGCAATGTAACAACTACTGCTGATTTATATTAATTTGTCTTGAGACCCTGTATGACTTTGAATGTTCTTGCTTTGATTTGTTTATGTTCATGATACTGGTAGCTGATACTGTTCTATTTTTTTTATTTGTTTGTTTCTCATGTACTACTCTCTTTAAAGTAAAAAAAAAAAAAAAAAAAAGGAATTTTTTTATACAATGGAGTACTACTCAGCTATAAAGAAGGATAAACTCAAGCCTTTTATAGGTAAATGGATGCAACTAGAGACCATATCCATAAGTGAAGTAAACCAGACTCACACATGTAAAAGTCATATTGTCTCCCTAGCGTAAGAAATTGAAAGAGTAAATAATATCCAAAATGTACAATAGATATTGTGAAAGGAAAAGAAACTGCTCAGTGCAGTTGGGATGGGGGAAAGGAGCAAAGAAGGAACGGGAAAAATATATATATATACACAAGGGAGCTAAGATAATTGTATTACTAATTTCTATTAGTTCATTGAAAGAACAGTGAGAATGTAAATTAGTATTGCTATTATGCAAATTAGTATGGGGGTTGTGAGAAGCCTAAAATAGAGTTCCAGATGGTCCAGTGATCCCATTTCTGGTTATATATCCAAATGAATTAAAATTGATATATTAAAAAGACATCTATACTGTTGTACTAATTGCTGCATTATCCACAATAGCCAAGCTATGGGAGCAATCTAAATGTGCATCAGTGGATAAAGGATAATGAAAATATGGGCATATATATACACAGTGGAGTACTATATTGCCTTTGAAAAGAAGTTAATCTGTCATTTCAACAACCTGGATACTTGAAAGATATTGTGCTACATAAAACAAACCAGGCACAGAAAGATGATCTCACTTATAAGTCAAAGAAAAATGGTTGATATCACAGAAACAAAAAACAGTAAAGCAAGGGGATGGGCAGAAGGAGGCATGGAGAAAGGGAGCATTTCTGTTAGACTGGAGGAGTAAGTGTTAGTGATCTATTGCACTATATGGTAACACAGTTAATAATGGTGCAAACTTTTAATGTTCTAACCACAAAAACTTGAACTGACAGGTATACGTAAAAGAAGGGGAACTTTATTTTAAGCCACTGATACCTATTTTATCAGTTCACTCACCAGGGAAAGATGCCAATATGTACCTTGATAGTATACAGAGAACCTAGGTGAAAGTATCACTCTGACTCCTGAAGTCCTTCTGAAGAAGGTCATTTCTACAGGAAGAGTTTTCAAGTTTTAACAGAAGCATTCTAAAGCAGCTATAGCAGGATAAAAATATTAAAGATGCTCTTTTGTAAAGAGAAAAATCTGAGTTACTAAAAGAGAAAGAAATATGATAGAGGAAAAGAACTAAATAATGGCTTAATCTTACAATTTTGACTAAAATTTAGTCTGATTAGAGAAAAAAATCTACATTTTTTAGAAAACTCACACAAGATGGAAACAGAAGAGGCTATTTCATAACAGCTCTTTGTGGGAAAAACAATTCCTGTAAAACTCCACTGCTTAAACATTTAATGAACTATTCTTCTTAAATATATATTCTCTAATAAATTTCAAAGTTTCTATAAATGCTGCTGTAACAATCTCAGAAGATTTGATGTGACCTTTTTGCCCATTTTTTTTTAACCATTTGACTTATTAGAGTAATCATGGTCACATGAGGGGCTTCTCATTAAAGCCAGTTATACTTACTTCGAGAAATTTTAGAGCCGCTTCAGATCACAGTTCACAATCAACATCTAAGAGATTAAGGAAAGTCACATAAATAAGACTGAAAAAGCATGTTAGTGACAGTTTTCAGCTGGATAAAGATAAACACAGCCAAAAGAATGCATTTGGCAGCTTGTGTAGAGATTTCACAAGAGGGAACCAAAATGAGATGTCGCAATCCTTACGACATGTAGCTTATCATTAAACAAATGGTGTTATTGTAAAACCAGAGATAAAATTACAATTTTGAAAAAATGAAAGAATGGCTGGTCTCAAACTCTATAGCAAAAATTCATGAGAATTAATCTGTCTTTTTTAAAAGAACTAATCATCCAAAGATAATAGAAGTAGTTTAAAAGATATGAAATTATGCATAGTATTATGTTAAAATTAAAACTAAAAATGTAAGCTGGGCGTAGTGGCGTATGCCTGTAACCCTAGCACTCAGGAGGCTGAGGCAGGAGGATCGTTATGAGTTTGAGAGCAGCCTGAACTGCATAGCAAGACCCTGTCTCAAAAAGACCAAAAAAGGGGCTGGGGATTTAGCTCAGTGGCACAGCACCTGCCTGGCAAGCACAAGGTTGTGAGTTTGATTCTCAGTACCAGAAAAAACAACAACAACAAAAAAAGACCAAAAAAAAAAAAAACCCACCTACAAATGTAGTAATACATTAACAGTTACACTGATTTGGGGGTACTTAATATTTTTTAACATTTTGGCCCTCATTTACAGCTTATTTTCAAATAATTTTCAATAAGACTAAATACATTTTTAAAATAACTTGCAAAGTAAGTAAGGACATTAGCCAGTGTGAAACTTTAAAGATTTGTAGTAGACAATAAGCTATTCCTTAAATAGTATACAGCTGGTGTATTTGAACAGGAAAGCTATCTTCTGTTATTTCTACCCATGTTCACAGATTCTGCTAATCTCCTTTGGCATGTAGATTTCCACTGATTTACAGATATATCCTTGACTTGATCTTGTGTTGTTAACTTTTCCAAATAGTTTGAGTCTAATACCCATGTACTTCATATACAGTGGAGGATCCAGCTAAAAATGCAACTGCTTAGTGTGGATTATTAGATTTTTGCGGATTCTGCCCACATACTGTAGTTGGTCCTTGGCTGATGAATTGATAATGGAATCCTAAGTCACCTAACTGTGAGACCCTGGACACAGGCCTGTATTTAAAAATCTCCAAATGAGTTCCAGGCTTCAGTGGTTCCAAAGACCTCTTCAGGTATTATAAATATAGAAAGCAAGAGGGGAAACTGTAACAACTAGAATAAAATCAATAGGTAACATTAGTATATGATAGTGTACAGTAGATGTTACGGTAAGTTCTGCACATGAATTCACCTCCCAGCAATCATGTGACAAAAGTATTAAGTTATTGCCACATAGCTTAGGAAGAAGAAGAGACTTAGAGAGGTATAATGAACCTCCCAAGGACAAAGCAATGTGAACTGGGTAGGGATTTCATTGCAGATCCTGTGTACCCAATTTGTACTTGACCATTTCCTGAAAGGAGAGCTGATTGCAGAAATTAGGAGCTGACCAAATCCCAATAAATAATCATCACCTGTGTCTCTCTGGACACTCACAGACTCTACTTGGGGTTAGCTCTCGTTTCCGTAAGATGAAGATACTGAATTCCAAGTTCCTTAAGTCCACCATGAGCTCTCAAGTTATCATAAAATGTGACAGCTGTGTAGTATTAGAGGGAGCTTTAAGTCATGTGTGAGGAGTCTGGGATTTTCCATTAACAGTTTATGATTGGGGAAAATTCATTTAACCCCTGCAATAATTATGTTCCTCTCTTCACGAGATCTTCTTACTATGAATACCAGTGCTTCAAAAGTGCAATGCAACATATAAATTAAAGGACCACACCACCATTTCAAAATTGTTTAATGGCATTGAAACCTGGATTTAAGGAGTTCTGCCAAAGTGTTTTGTTATTATTCCATTCTTCCCTTTTTATTTAAAACATCTGTCTGTGATGCGTTAATGCTATTTTTAGTAGATTTAAACACAGGAAGAAAGTGGGTAAGCACACCTCCAATTTTCCATTAGCACACGAGGAGTAAGGGATGTCCAAAGAAGATATATTTCCCCATAAAGAGGTGGGGAATGTGTACTTAACTAATATATTACACCATTTTTTGTGAAAACAGCAGTGGAAAATTATCTATATACCTTAGCTCTTTTGCAGTTTAACCAAGTTAATGATTGAAATCTCCTAGACTTTCCACTACACTATCCCCAATGTGTCTATTTGCCCTGACTGATATTTTACCTGTTTTGGGCCAAAGATGACTACCCCTCATTTCTGTGTAGAGATTAATAATTGATTAGTTCACAGCCAGGGGTCTTAGTAAAAGGGGACTGTAACTATGGGCTGTCATTTTTTTCTCAGTAACCTGCAGTAACAGAAGTTGCTGCAGGACTCCCTGGCGGAGCAATGAAGACAGTCTTGGTTTTCCTGCTCACTGTAGCACTGGGGTGTGCTTTAGAGAGAGGTAAGGTCTCTCTTGCTGTGACAATTGATGAGAATTCTTACTACTGTTATTTTCATTACCATATGAAAAATTGTACAAAAGGTAAAAAAAATGAAAGAATTGGAGAATATGTTGGAAGAAGAAAGGAAAAAAGAGGGATTAATCTAAGCTCAACTATACTCTAAGAACCTCAGGAAGGTCTAATTATATAGTTTGTCAATTATCACTATTTTTGATAAATAAGATCTGAAGAAATGCATTAGCTTTCAAAGGATAATGCACCGGAACTGGCTGATTCATCTGTAAGCATTTTTCAGACTTCAAAGCACTTCTCCAATTGAGAGTGCAATGTTCTATGCCAATGATGTATAAAAGCAACTCAGAGATTTCTTTCCTCCTCCTCCTCCTCTTTCTCCTTCTCCTCCACCTCTATGAATCCTACACATGCAGTATTTGGGGCTTTTATTGGTGTTGTTTGCTTTTGGTTTTTGTTATCTTATGCAGTATTTGAAAATACATTATGGTTTTTTTAAATACAAGCCACATAGAATAAAAATTTTCTATAACTATGAACCATAACCATATAAAAGATAATTGAAGATGATTGAGTTTTTTTTTGAAATTGTTCTTCAAATAGTGTCTTTATTTTTAGAACTTTATGTTTAAAACTTTTAAAAATGACACAGATTATGTAATATATACAACTTTATGAATTCTGCAGCTTGACAACTTTCCCCATCAGTTTCAATTTACTTTTCTGGCTGACTTTTTAATGTGTATATGTAAATATGCATTCACCCTGCTCTGTAAAACCAGAATTTTCATTGAGTGCTGTCAACAGCCTCACCCAAATAATGCATTTATATTTATGTTAGCAAAGGAAACAAGTATTATGCTCCCAGGAATTATCATTCATTATCCATGACTTGAAAAATATTACTCAACTTTATCTTATTCTTTTTACAGTCACTTTTCCTTGATGTTACTTTTGTCCCCCAAATTAATTTAAATTTTGCCCTTACTCATATCCATAGATCCTTAAGTAGGCTACTAGACCTTAGGTAAGACTACATAGTCTGAGACAAAATGAGAAACAAAGAAAAGTAAAATACTTTGCATAGGCTAAGTCCCAAGAAACTCTGAAACCTTACTCTTTTGCCCCAGATTTCACTGGGAGCAGATCTGACCCTGAAAATTCCTCCATGTGCTAACTCAGACCGGGATCTACAAATGCACAGGCCCAGGAATGGCTCAGACTTGGAAGTGCACATAGGGGACGTGAATCCCTGTTTGGAGCTACCGACTCAGGAGGTGGACACTGGCTCCACTCCACACTACGGGGTCCCTGGAGTTCCCTTAGGAGGTCTGAACCTAGTCTTCTTACCTAGGTTTCGTAAGTCAGATGATATCGTTCTTAGCACTTGCTACCTTACCTACTATGTACCACCTATTCATTCATTTTAACAAAAGTAGAATGTAAGTTTCAGGAAATTAAGGGCTTTATTTTTACTTCCCATGGTAACTTTCTGTTTTAGACTCCTACTGAACATATAGTGAGTGTCTGATAAATATTTGTGTAATATCACAAAACTAGAGTACCAACCTCATAAGGTAGTTTTGAGAATTAAAAGAAAATTGCATCAGTGAAGCTACATAACGGATATCCTGGAGGAAAACTCTTTTTAAAAGTTTATCATCATTATTTTCAATACTCCCATCATATAAAATTTCCACTATGGAGCACTGGTACTAAAGTTTATGCTCTGTAAGTAAAATTATTAGCTAGTATTTTATTAACAATGTCAGCATGTTTAAAATCTTTTGGATAACTTGACTTTATCCTCACAGTACCGCCATGAGCTTAGTACTATTATCCTCTCTTACAGACTAGGACACAGAGCAAAAGAAAGCTAGTCAGAGCAGAACCAGAGGCGATGCTTTCAATCATTAACACACTGTCTCTCATAAAACAAGTGCTTTAAATGCGATATTTTGTAAGCTTTGAACATATATAAGATAGCAACAAGCAATCATTAACATCGACTTAGTTGAGATTACTAGTGAAATTCATCTGCCTACTATGTGTATCTACAACTGGTCCAAACCCGACATCCTTCCAGCTGTGACTCCTAACTGCTCCTTCTACTCTCCTGGCACTGTCACATCTGAATGGCCTTCTCAGTCCTTCAGAGTGTGCTTGGATATTATTTGACTTATTTTTATTTTCAACATTCAGTCACTCCTACATTCCACAAACATTATCTGTGCAACTGACCAGCTTTGTATATTCTATGGCAGAAACCTCCACAATATTCTATATTTATCAGTCTCTCTTCTTTCCCTCATGAACAGAACTAGTTCTCAAAGTTTTGGTACTGCCTTTCAGACCCACTCCTGCCATTTAGATTTCCATTCATGGTTCCTACCCACACCAGTTTCCTCCTTCCCCTGGCCATTGTAACTGGCTCTCTAATCAATCCCTTACTTCCAACATTCCCCAGTCATTCATATTAAGAAAATACAATCTTGATATAATGCAGCGAGTCCAAAAATGAATTAGGCACTTAGAAATCAGGTCACTGTTGTGAGACTAATGAAATGATAGGATTGAGCATGTGCAGCTGGAGGTGGGAACGCAGGACCATGGTACCTGACACAAACCCACCACGGATGGGTCCTCTGTTTGGAGTCGCTACTCATGGGTTGGCTCAAGTTTAAATATGAATGGGCAAAACAAAGCCCCCTCCAAAGACGTGTGCATTATAATGCAGGGAAACAGAATAGATTGGGTTACATCACAAAGGGGGAATTTAAATTATAGATTTAATAGATGTTGCTAATTAGTTGAGCTTAAAATAAAAAGAGAGTGCTAGTCTATCTGCATGGGGCCAGTGCAATCCCAGGTTCATTAAAGATGGAAGAAGGAAGTGGAAGAGTCAGGGAAGATGTGACGAAAGAGAGAAACAAAGACAGATGCAAAACTGCCAGCTTTGGAGACAGAGAAAAGTTCCTTGGAGTCAAGCTAGACAGATCACTTCTAAAAGAGGTCCTTCCAAAAGCAAGGAGATGGATTCATCCTCAGAACCTCAGCCCTGCTGACCTTAATTCTAGCCCAGAGAAGCCTGTGAAAAATAGAAAAGTAAATGTGTAAGGTGTGAATGTCCTTGTTTGCGACAGTGTAATACAACTGCCATAGAAATCCAGGACAGTGTTTCTGGGTCCAGGCCCCCCCGACCCCCCACCCAACTGGCTGAAACTTCCCAACCGAAGTGGCCAGTGGGCTATGGCATAGCTCTCTTATAGGACTACCATTTCCTCTCCAGATTCAGGAAGATCTGGACTGGGTGCATGTTAACTCTTTTCCTTGCTTCTTGGGGGTTTGCTGTTTTTTACCTTCTCATTTATATTGTACTGATCAGAAAATAAGAATTTAGCCCAATACCTAAGGGAAGTTCTGGAGCATATCACATACTGTGATATTAACATAGTTTCAGTTACTGAATTTTAATGTGAAATTTATTGGTAACATTCCCTGATAATTCATCATGTGTTATAGACTGAATATTTGTGTCTCTCGGGGTTCATATGATGAAGCCCCAGGGTGACGGTGTTCCTTGGAGGTGGAGCTTTGAAAGGTACAGCCCTGTGATGGAATTTGTGCTCTCACTGGGAGAGAAGGGTCGGGGAAGAAGGAAAAGGACAGGAGAGGGGCAGAGGAGAGAAGAGAAGGGGAAAAGAGGAAATGAGGGCAGGAAGGGAAGACAGAAGATAAGAGAAGAAAAAGGAGGAAAAGAGAAAAATCTTCTTTGTACACACATTAAAGAATGTCATGTAAGGACGTACGAAGATGCCCGCACCAACTCTGTGACCATGCTCGCACCCTGATTTCAGCCCTGCAGTCTTTAGGTCCATGAGAAATAAAATGTCTAAACTACACAGTCTGTGATAGTTTGTTATAACTTCCTGAAGACACCATGTTAGGCAGGAAATTTTAAGTATTTTTACATGGATTAACATTTTTGCAGAATAGCCTTAGAATTCTGAGTCTGTGGTGGAATTTTTGGGCCTTCTAGGGTAGGATAATGTTGTCTGAAAATAATGATATTTTGACTTTCTTTGTCCAATCCTATACCTCTCTCTTATTTCCCTCTCTTGCCTGATTGCTCCGGCTAATGTTTTGAAAACTATGTTGAACAGAAGTGGTGACAGCAGAAATTTTGTTTTATTCCTGATTTTAGGAGGGAAACTTTCATTTTTCCCCCATTTGATATGACGTTAGCAGTAAGTTGGTCCCAAATAGCTTTTATCATTTGGAGATAAAGCCCTTCAATATCTATTTTCTTCAGAGTTTTTTTAATCATGAATGGATACTGGATTTTGTCAAAGGTTTTATCTGAGTTTACTAAGATGACTGTGTGAAAATTATGGTACACAGTATTCTTATTCTTTAACTAATTTGTTATAAAAATTGCTTTTTTATAGAAGAGTGGTTTTTATATTTTTATTAATATGTACATTTATTACATTAAAACACAAAAAATAAAAGAATAGCCTTATAAGGGTGATATTTATCTCAAACCTAAGGATATCTTTCCTTGAATACAAGTCATAAATTGGCCATTCTCCTATATGAGTATATTTAAATAGTTCACCATTACCTTAAATAAAGAAGCAAAGCTTTGACTGCTGTCTTTCTGGGTTTATCTTCCAGTTTTCGTATTGCACTGCTCACTATTCTCCAGATATCTCAGGTTCCAATACCTCTTCATGCTGTTGTCTGCACTTAAAATTCCTGTCCTAATCCATTTACTCCTACAATAACCCTGCTTTGCTCTCGTTTCAATTTTAGTATATGTGCTGCTGAAGCGAGTACCTCTGCTTTGCTCTCAGTGTACGGCAAGTAGTAATTCCTGTTATGAGGCTTCCTAAAATCTCCCTTCACTCTAAAGTTCCCATTTGTATTACTCTGCCCTATCTCTTGTATGGCAGTGATTACTACTTGTACTGTGTACTTAGTTCTT